AGCATTTACTGATCACTCACACGGCATGTCAAGACTGGTTTACAGGAGCCATTTTGCAACATGTCTTTTACACACTAGATGGCACCAAGCCTACAGAAATATGCACTCATGCTGGGAATTAACTAGTGCTACACAGCAAAGAGGAAGTCAAGACACAAACACAAGATGAAAATTAAAAAGCTTTTATTTTTTAAAACACTAATCATTCATCCCAGGACACCTGCTGCACCTATTTGAAAGAGGAAGATACATAAACATTAGAAACCACATTTATGCATGTAGAGAAGCAAGATATGATGAAGTACTCACCTGCTACTTTCCCATAAATGAAGGGATCCTGAGCCATCTGGCCACTGGATGAACACTCTGGACCCGTGTCTTGTAAGATGCAGAGGGCCGCTGGGGGACCACGTAGGCCTGCTGCTGAGCAGAGGTCGGCTGGGGGACCACGTAGGCCTGCTGCTGAGCAGAGGTCGGCTGGGGGACCACGTAGGGCGGCTGGGGGACCACGTAGGGCGGCTGGGGGACCACGTAGGGCGGCTGGGGGACCACGTAGGGCTGCTGGGGGACCACGTAGGGCTGCTGGGGGACCACGTAGGGCGGCTGCTGCCCGACACTCACTTCCTTCTGGTCAGCAGTTTTTTTCAGCCGTATGATAGCGTAGCCACCAAAGCGCTGAGGGATGTTGTAGATTCTGGTCAGGGGGAAGCGCTGATCAGAGATCCCTACACTCTTGGTCCTAGAGGCAGGGAGGTTACGAGCTCCCTGCGCCGAGTTTCTGCTGTTCCAGGATGTTTGGAGAGAACGCATACTGCTGGGGACTTGCTCAGTGGAGGTGTAGCTTGTGAGAGTATTTCCACTGCTCGGGTTGAAACCAGCAGGAGCACTATGTTTGTTGGACACTGGAAGAGACCGACTATAACTTTGGAGGCTTGAGGCCATGTGGGACGCTGAAGCAGGCTTATAGGGTCCTTGGTCAAACAGTTTGCTTGGGTATTGGTTCCCAGCCTCAGTCTGGCTGGGGTTATTTCTAGTTACCTCATTTTGGAGAGACGGGAAATGGGAAGGTTTAGATGCTTCAGAGCTACGATGTGAAGACACTCTTGTAGCAGAGGCACTGGCTGATGTTTTCGTCCGGGCAGGGATTCTGTGTGGCTCAGCAGCACCTGTGCTAGATAGGCTGGAAGCTTTCTGTGCTGCCGACTGATGGGAGGCAGGTTTGAAGGCGTAGATTTCTCGAAGACTCTGATAGTTGCTAGTACTTGGTGTACCCTGCTGAACTGGCCAAGTTCTCTCCCCGCTAAGCGGAGATTGACGATACCTACTGATTGAATTACCACTAGCAATATTAGTAGAAAGGCCAAAGTCATTTGGCCTCTTCTGCACATTTTCATGACTCAACCTAGTCTTTGGCCGGTTAGGTTTTGACTTCGAGTTGCTCGGCATAAACCTGACTAAAGCATAGCCCCTTCTAGCTGCCTCTGAAACACCTTGTGTATTGCCACTACTGGGAAATCTCTGGCTATAACCACTGCTAACTTCAGTGTTGAAGCTGCTGCTCTGGGCTGAGCCATGAGAACCAGAGACCTGTCTGAGTTGATTCTGGAGATCGCTGCCACCAAATCCACTACCCTTTTGAGAGAAGCCAACATTTGTGTTGCTGTTTTGTCCCTGAGCTGCAAGAGAAACAAAGACTATAAATCCACAGCTTGTAAATCACACCAATATACGACAGCGACATTTGTGTGTTGCTCACCTTGTGTAACCCACAAACAAAGCACATGCTCTGCTTCAATTAAACAAATCAGCAAGATCCTGCACAAAAAACACAACATCCAGTCAGAAATGGTACAGCAACTCAACAAATACTGAAAATAGCTGAAAAAAAACTTACCCCAAATGAACTCCACAAGCCATTTCTGTGTTCTAAAGCAAGCAGCCTGGTCAAAGCAACA